TCTGTATGTGGGATCCGAACCCTCGGGTGGGAGCGCCGCCACGCTTCCCAAGCGGCACACTTATCCAGTGCGCCACCGGGCCGGCCCATTAAGGGGTCTTTTAAAGGCACATAGTCACACAGGCAAAAAATCATATAGTCACATACTTATATTTATCATATAGTTACATACATACTCTCCTGGCGTGAGGAGGAGTTTGGGGAGGCCCAGTGCAAGCTGATAACAGAAGCTGAAAGAAGCCAGTTAATCACTGAGGGACAGCAAAAACTTTCACAGGGTGGTTTCCTCCTTAGGTTGTCTAGATACATCTGGATACAGCTCTTGATGATAGCAGTTAAGGACAGCATAGGCGGGAAACAGCAAAGGCAGGCAGAACTTAAAATTTTTCTAAGTACAGGACAATTTTTAACCTTCAATTTTCACCACAGGTGTTGGGGGGCTTTCAAACAAGAACACTTTTCAAACAGAAAAAATGGCATAAGCTAAATCAATCTACCTCATCACAATATAATGAGGTGTGGAAAGCTTGGTTGGAATGTATTTAAGAGAGAATGGGAAGAGAGGACTTGCTGACAGCTTGTATAAACAACTCTGCTTTCAGGAGGAGAGAAATGGGGCAGTAGCTAGGTTGGGGAAATGGGAGCAAGAAGTTTTTTCCCCAAGGCACAGAAATAACATATTTTATGGTAATGAAATGATCCCATAGACAGGAAAGAGTAGATTATACCTCAATTCTGAGGCCAGTTATGGTCTTTCCTTTCTGTGCTCTCTCAGCTTCTTTGTCCCTCTCTTGCTTTGTCACACTTGCTTGGCAAAGCCATAAACCTGGTGAGATGCAACACTTGCAGCTTCTAGGTGCTTGCTCTTTCTATTACACCATACGGTAGTGAATGCAAACTTTCACAACAAAAAGAAAGTTTTTCGTTTTGAAGTGCCCTGGCCTCAGGCTTCAGTAATAAAAAACAGATGTAAGGGACACATTGGCTTAGCCTAAGGTTGAGAGCTGGCCTTTTTCCTGGGGGACTCTTAAGCCCAGAAAGCAGAATTCTTTGAGGTTGTTGGTCTTTAGTGAAGATTATTTGCTGCGGGTTAAATACTTGGCTTTTGAGCATTTTCTGTGTTGGTGGGGCTGGGAGATACTGAGGAGGTAAGAAGTTATTTGCAATTACAAAAAAAAAAGTTTTAGTTAGTCTTTTCATTTGTTATTGGTGGCATTTCCAAGTCCCTGGGTTCCCAGTTTTCTGGGTTCTTCTGGGAAGAGAACCAATTGCCCCCTTCTCCTTAGTTTTCTTTTTTGTCACGTGGGCTTAAACTTAACTATTCGCTTACTATCTACTTTAATCTAGTCCCAGGAAGGAGAGGAAAGAAATGCTTATGGTTGAACAATTTTATTGTAAACTGCAAGTTCGAATCATTTCTTAACTGTTGAAATACAGTTCACTGTAAGTGCCCAGCATTAATCTTTTCAACTGTATCAACTCTCATAAAATTCACAGTGAAATTTTCATGAGCTGTGCTGTTAATGTAGTTTTAGAAAAAGTCATACCACTCAATAAGTAGAAGTGAGTTAACCTGTTTATGGCATCAATAGTGCTTTTGAAAGCACAAAAGATTTTTTTCTCCCTGCGCTTGTACAGTAATTCTTAATTAATTTGGAAACTTGAAAAAGTTACTTTCACTTTGTTGTCATGTCTAAAAAAAGAAAGAAGAGTTAGCAGTTTAAAATTTCTCACTGACTTTAAAAATAGTCCGTGTAATTTTGTATAAAGTTCCAAATACATTTCCTTTTTTTTTT